CTGCAATGAGAACTACACCACCGACTTCATCTACCAGCTCTACTCAGAGGAGGGCAAAGGGGTGTTCGACTGTAGGAAGAATGTGCTGGGCCACATGCAGCAGGTAGGGCCGGCACCCCATCCCTCACGAGTGGCCCCAGTCCCGCAAAACAGAAAGGGGAGCTGTTAGTCATGTGACTTCCTTTTAGATGGATGATTAAAAACATCTGAACTATGTTCCAGTTAGAAGTCATACCAGATATCACCAGCTTTAGGAATTCCGTTGTGAAATTTGGGTAGATGGTCATCTTAAGGAAATGGTCAGCTTTCACATAGGAATATCAATTAACTGGAAAACCTTATTCAAAGTATCTCATTCAATATTGGGCAAAAATAAGCATCCAAATAGGAACATCAGACAAATGATACTTATTTGAGATTTGCCCGGAATCAGAGCGAGGTGGAAAGAACCCGGGGCGCGCTCTGTAAGTGCCCGGATGACAAGCAGGGTGGGTTGGAAGCACAGGCCCCGCCTCCTGACCGCAAGCCTGTCTTGTCCCATCACCATTGACCCCTCCTGTGTCTTAGGAACTTCTAACTTTGGGCCCATTGTTCACATCCGTGGGTCCCTGAATCTCCTGAATCTATGACGCAATGCTAGGCTGGTGTGTATTTTGTGAAAGGAAACTGGGACCCCCTTCCCCATCCCAAAATAAGGTTAAGGAATCCTGAAAGAATATTTAAAATGATGCCAACCCGAAGGTGACGAAAGCGCTGTGGTACTTGCCTCGCAGGCTTAGCCTCATGGGCAGCAGTCACGGGCTTGCTTTTGTCTGGTCCCAACTATGCACAAGGAGGTAAAATTTAACAAAACAAACCTTCAAAGCCCATGTTTACAAACATGATGTGAACTTTGTTGAATAGTAATTTATTTTATTTCTACTTCATTTTTTAAAGTAAACAGCCAGGAAGGTGTGGTTGTTTAATTAACATGTAATTAACCACCCACAGGGAGGAGCGCCTTCCCCATTTGACAGAAACTTCGGAACCAAAATCTCCGCCCGGGCCATGCAGTGGATCACGGGGAAGCTGAAGGAGGCGCAAGGAAAAGGTGCCGAGTGGCGGGGTGGCCTGTGCACAACATGACGCTTTCACTCCTACCAGACTCTATGGTTGCTAGATACGACATTCAAGGTTATGATTAGGTGTAAATGTGATGGATACGAAATGCTTTATTCCCGCTGATTAGAGATGGGAGGCATCGGTCATCAGTGACACTCTTCTTAGTAAAATTGCTGTTTACATGTGGGCTCCTCTGCAAGAGCCTACGATGTGATCTCTCCCTGTTTTCTCTTTGCCACCTGGACCACTTTGGACTGGCCCTGGAGGTACTTTCAGATTTTCTCCTTGACTCATTCACAACTCCTTTTTAGAGCAGGCATGGAAGGAGCAGAGGTATCCAGACCGTTTTCCCCTCCACCTAAGTGTGTGCCGCTCCCTTACTCCACCCTCCCCGCCCCTCAGCACAACCTCGGATGTGTAACCATCCCACTTCCTGCAGAGTTCACTGTCTGATCACACCTTCCAAGGTGTTACTAGTCCCACTTTGAGTAGGGAATGCCTTCAGTACTTTGGGACTATAAATTCTTAGTAACGTTTAACTGAAGTCATTCATTCTTCTTGCTATTTATTGCTTGCTCTTGGATACTCTGTTCACTACATACTTTTCAATCATGAAAGGATCTTACACACTTTTTGCATCACATGGCATGGTCATTAAGTCTTAAACATTTCCTAGTGTTAACACATTGTTTGCGGGTAGTTTTTATCGCGCGCTAAAAGGT